AGCCTGCAAGAGAGCAGTTTGAAGAGCCTTAAAAGCCTTTTGAATCTCTGGGGACTTAACCAGCTTGTCAGTTTGGGCCTGCTGGGTCTCAGTTATAAGTTTATATAAAGGCCAGGCAAGTTCCCCATAACCCACAATCCAAATGTGGCAGTAGCCTGTAATGCCCCAAAATCCTCTCAATTATCTTAAAGTCATATTTGGCTTGTTTAGGAATTTCAGACTATAAAGTATAAGGATTAGGCACTTACTATTTGTATATCTTGAATTAGTCTCCATTTAGCATTTGACATTTCTACATCCAAAATAGGATTGTTGCATGGACTATTACAGGGAATTAATAGCCCTTGTTCCTTTAAATCTTCAATGATGTGTTTTAACCCTTCCTTAACCTCGGGCTTTAGTGGGTGCTGGTTTTGATGTGAAAATAGGTGAGGGTCTTTGAGCTTGATAATGACAGGAGCAGCATTTTGTGTTCAACTCACAGTTTTTCCATCAGCCTACACTTTAGGATTTGCATTTTGTTCAATTAATGGGAGAGAAAGAGCAGGCTCCATATTCAAGAAAACAGAGACCTAGACCTTGTTCAGTATATCCCTCCCCAGAAGGGGTGAGGGAGACTCTAGCACGATTAGAAACTCGAGAAAATAGCACAGAGGTCTAGTTGCAGTTTAAAGGACAAATGAGATAATAACGTTTGGCTCATCCAGACAGTCCCATATCACAGTGGATCAGGAGGAAAGAGGACCAGGGGCTTCAGTGAGCACAGAGAAAGTTGCCCCAGTGTCCAAAAGAAATTTACAGATTGGCCCCTCACAGTTATTAATACCCGGGGTTCCTCAGGTGTAATTAGGATGAGAGCTTGTATGGGGATCCCCGGGCAGCTTCAGTCCCATTGTCTTGAGAGTCCAACCCCTGGGGCCTACACTTCGGAGGGCAGTCTAATCTCCAGTATGGTCCTTTGCAGACTGGACATGGAGCTGGGGGCAGCTTAGATGCCTCAGGCCAATCCCACTTGAGATGCCCCTTCTTTCCACAGTAATGACAAGTCCATCCCTTTTCACCTGGGTCCCTCTGGGCATTTTTCCTCAGGCTGTTTCAGAGTGGATCTAACAGCCATGCTGGGGTTCAGTCTTTTGCCTGGTTCTTTTTTGCCTCTTATTTTTCTTCCTTATATTCTCCACCATAATATACTGTCTGAGACAGCTGCAACAGTTTTTCTAAAGACTGATTTGGTCCGAACGCCTGTTTTTGTAACTTACAGAAGATATCTGGAGCCAATTGAGTAAGAAAACTATCTTTTAAGATGATTTCTTCCTCTGTAATTTCGAGATCAACGTCAGTAAACTTGCAGAGAGCTCCCTGTAGTCTAGCTAGGAATTTACCAGTTTTCTTCTCTCCCTGTTCTATGTCAGTCAACTTAAATAGTCTAAAGTCTTTGCGCTCCCTTGAGTCCTTCAAGAACACATCCAGCAGGGTAGCTCTGTTATTGGAACCGCTTGGCCCCCAGTAGGAAGGAGGGCTATTTCATGTTCCCTCTTTCTCCTTGCCTTCAAGCCATTCATCTCCAAAACTAGTAGCTTCCCACAAAACTTGAGTTTTTGAGTCAGGAGTCAGTGTCTGTCCCTAGACATACATTACATCTCTCCAAGTAAGGTCATAAAGTAAAGTTAGCCCCATAAAGCCTTCTATGTACTTTTTGGATCCTCTAAATAGTCTCGACCACAGTTGGGACTGTTTGAATTTCTACTGAGACTGAGGCAACCCCTCCTGGAAGGGTACCCTGATTCTCAGCCTGTTCAGTTGGGAGCCCCAGATACAGGGGCACAGCAAGAGAACAGGAGGCAGCTGAAGGTTTCACATCCAAATCTGCACCCTTAGGACATAAGTCAGGCATGTCTCACAGAGAGATAAAAAGCAACACATATGTCACTTCTACCCATTTCCTTTGTTTTCTACAGAACTGGTCTAGTTGTAAAACGGTATCACAATTGAGAGACATTTCAACCGGCCAGTATTCCCCATTTTCCAAAGGATACTGTGGCCATTCAGTATCACAGAAAATCAGGCATGTATTTTTTTAAACTCTGGGGATCAAACTTGTCCCAATTTTTTTTAATACATTTTAAAGGAGTGATTCTGAAAGTGTTAGCTCCAATTTGTAAGAGAGAAAAAAGCAGCATCCACAGCCATGGCTTCTTTCCACCAGAGGCATCCCTCCCTGCTCTAGATGGGCATGCAAATAGAGTTTCCACTGAAGCTTTCCTTCCCTGGTCAGACTTAGTTTGTCCCTTACTGACGCAGGCATCTTAGTCATCCCTCCTGGTTCTACCACCAAGGTGGGGTGGAGATGCACCAGGGATAGACCTGATGGCATCCCAGATTGATTTCTAGTTCCTTACCACCAAGACCTTTGTTTGATTTGCCAGAGTAGTTTCCCAGAATGTTTCCCAAGCTAGGACTACTAGAGGAAGCATCCATCTTACGTGTGCCCATGTACATTCCTGAGTACAGTCCTAACTGCAGTAGAAGCGGTGAGTCATAAAGAGATGAACAACAACCAGATGTCCCTTCTGAGTGTTACCATGCCAGTATATGTGATAACAAAAGAGGTGGTAGAGGGCTGGCCAGTGAGGAAAAGTGATTTTTGTCCTCAAGCTACTAGGTCCAATCCTTCCACAAAAGGAACATCTAGGGAGTTGAGACAAAAGCCATTGGAGAGCTTCCTCTGGTCTGCTAACAGCTAGCACTGCCAAAGGGAGAAGCCCATTGCACTTCCAATCTGAACAGATCCTGCAATTCCCAATCAATGTCCTCAGAAACCTCATGGTCACCAGCTGTGCTTTTATCCACATAGCTAGGAGGCACAGCCATGACAAAGACTCACTTTTAGGACTCTGGGCCCTGAGGCAGGCAGTCAAGAGAGTGACCTCTAGCCTGAGAGACATTCCTGGAGCTAGAGCTCCTGCTCGCTCGCAAACAAGCTCTTGTAACTTTTGGCTCCTAGCAAGGCTAGGGGCTTCCATACTTGGGGGTCTAAGTAAAAGTACATAGAATCGGCATGAATCACAATTCCCTTGAAAGTCTATGATCCGACAGATTAGGTTAGTAGTTCTACTTCCCCATGCAGTTACAGAATGGTCAAAGAGACCAGAAAAAACGGATCGAGAAAGGAAAGCTCAGCCCACACGCTTTGCGCATTTCTGGCCACTCCCCTCGCAAGGATGTTGAGTGCCTCTTGGCATGGCAGGTCAACATAAACTTCCAACAAGGCTCCCCTTTTGGGGGCTACCTTCAGTCATTATGAGGCACCTCTAAACCACAGAGCAGGGCTCATTACTTGCTTCGTGCAGGGCGTGTCATTCATTCACACAAAAACACTATAGAGTTAGCAGAAAATGTGTATACTGAGAAAACAGAGAGGCTAGAGCTCTTGAGTGTTCTTACCTTGTCCTGAAAATCCCGGATGAGCCCCCAAGATGATAGCTTACGGTGAACAGTGTCAGATTTGTGATCTCCAAAGAAGATTTAACTTTGGGACCAGGGACCAGACTTGATCACTCAAGAGCTTTTGTGTAGCAGTTTTAGCAGGGGTTTTGTGTAGCAGGGGACAGAAAAACCTTCTGACATAGACATCAGAAGGAGGATGGAGAGTGCCCACTCTTTTTCTACTTTTATGCGTAAGTTTAGATTGTTTACTTGGTATTTTCCTGGTTTCCTGAGGTAGACCTGTTTCACTATAAACTTCCCTCTTAGAACTGCTTCTGTGAGTCCCATAGATTTTGGAATGTTGTGTTTCCATTTTCATTTCTCTCAAGGTATTTTGATTTCCTCTTTGACCCATTGTTATTTAGTAGCATCTTATTCAGCTCCTATGTGTTTGTATTTTTTCCAGTTTTTCTCTTGTAATTGATTTCTAGTTTCATACCATTGTGGTCAAAAGATGCACAATATAATTTCAATCTCTTGAATTTACTGACACTTGTTTTGTAACATTATATGATCTATCTTGGAAAATGTTTCATGTGTACTTGAAAAGAATGTGTATTCTGCTGCATTTGGATGGAATGTTGTATATAAATCTAAGTCCATCTTGTCTAATGTGTTGCTTAAGGACAATATTTCCTTATTAATTTAGTTTGGCTGTTCTGTCCATGGGGCTGCAAAGAATCGGACACAACTGAGTGACTTAATTGAACTGTTCTGTCCATTGATGTAACTGATGTGTTAATTTCTCCTAGTATTATTGTATTACTGTCAGTAACTCCTTTTAAGTCTGTTCACACCATACCATTTTTTAAATGAAGAAACTATACCAGAAAGATTAAGGAAATGCCTATATTACCTAACTTATTATTTAGGCATTTTACATCTTCAGAAATGTACACATTGCCCTTATTCATTTGGCCATCACAGTCCTAGAGTTTATAGAATTCTTTTTAAACAGTACCTTCATGACTTAATACCCTCAGTAGGCACTCAAGAAATTTATTCAGCTGCTTCCTTGTATCAAACTGGATAGAGAATCAAGAAATCTAGTTTTTATATCTAACTCATTCTTCTTTTGGTTCGGTTACTTAGAAAATAAGCTCAGTATTTCCAGATCAGCTTTCTGTTCCATAGACTATTTGTTCTCTAGAGTCCTTCCCAGGTAAAAAAAAATCATAACAATATGATCCACAGAATTTTAGTTGTTAGTTATAGTACAAGATAGGTAATTAATTTTTTCTGACAGTTTACTAACAGTAAAAATACAATGCATATACCACCCTATTTATACACATAAAAATCAGAGGAAAAAAAGATTTCTCAAAAAAAAAATACCTTGCTATAATTGTTGCACTATTTTTTATTATTATTGTTATATTTTGTTTAAAAATTCATTTCAACACATTCAGTCGCTTTGATAACTCACTAAGCAGTAACAAACAATAGCACAAAAAGATGTGGCAATCAATTTAGACAGAAAATTATTTCCTATTTAAAGAGAACCCTGACCTTACCTCAATACAGGGGGTGCTAACAATTGTTGCATTTTCATCAATGTGCCTTGCCAAGGTTAGAAAATTTTCATCACTGTATTCAAAACAATTCCAGAATATAATGGAGCAGATCACATTGCAGGGAGCATAGCTCAGAAGGAAAGTAGGATCACATGGAGATCCTAAAAAACAATATATAAAAGTTGGAATATAATTTTCAAATAAATCTAAGTTGACTGTATAAAATAATGGAGAAGGGTTGATTTCTAAGATTTTTTTATTACAGGATAACCTGGACCTGCCATCTTTATTATAAATTCAACATGCCTAGAGACTTGGACCATAAAGAAGGCTGAGTGCTAAAGAATTGATGTTTTTGAACTGTGGCACTGGAGAAACCTCTTGAGAGTCCCTTGGACAGCAAGATTAAACCAGTCAGTCCTGAAGGAAATCAGTCCTGAATATTCAATGGTGTTAAAGCTGAAGCTCCAATATTTTGGCCATCTGATCAGAAGAGCTGACTCATTGGAAAAGACTGTGTTGCTGAGAAATATTGAGGGCAAGATGAGAAGCGGCTGACATGAGTTTGAGCAAACTCTGGGAGGTAGTGAAGGACAGAGAAGCCTGGCATGCTGTAGTCTATGGAGTTGTGGAGAGTCTATGGAGTTGTGGACATGACTTAGCAACTGAACAACAACAACAAAATAAAATTGTGTTTCCCAAGGAAAATTATCTAATCCAGTGTTATTTATTTATTAAATTTCTCCCAATTATTCTATTTATATCATTCTCCAATTAAAGCCACAGGATAATACACAAGAAGGAGATCATTGTGAAATGTCTTTAAAACTATAAAATTTAGCTATTGGTGTTGATATTCTTCAAAATACCCAGAAGAAACTGACCAATATAATAAGGTAAGGAAACTGAGGAGAATTGAAATCATATTTTACAAAATGCATTGAAAAATGTTGAGTGTGCTTTTCTATCAGAAGAGAATAATGAGAGGGATTGAAGACTAGCGATCTCGTCAAGAAAATTAGAGATACCAACAGAACATTTCATGCAAAGATGGGCACATATTTGAACAGAAATGGTATGGACCTAACAGAAGCAGAAGATATTAAGAAGAGGTGGCAAGAATACACAGAAGAACTATACAAAAAAGATCTAATGACCCAGATAACCACGATGGTGTGGTCACCCACCTAGAGCCAGACATCCTGGAATGTGAAGTCAAGTGGGCTTTAGGAAGGAAGCATCACTGCAAACAAAGCTAGTGGAGGTGATGAAATTCCAGTTGAGCTATTTCAAATCCTAAACGATGATGAAGTGAAAGTGCTACACTCAATATGCCAGCAAGTTTGGAAAACTCAGCAGTGGACACAGGACTGGAAAAGTCAGATTCATTCCAATCCCTAAGAAAGGCAATGCCAAAGAATGTTCAAACTACCACACAGTTGCACTCATCTCACACGCTGCAAAGTAATGCTCAAAATTCTCCAAGCAAGGCTTCAACAATACATGAACCGTGAACTTCCAGATGTTCAAGGTGGATTTAGAAAAGGCAGAGCAACCAGAGATCAAATTGCCAAGATCTGCTGGATCATCAAAAAAGCAAGAGAGTTCCAGAAAAACATCTATTTCTGCTTTATTGACTATGCCAAAGCCTTTGACTGTGTGGATCACAATAAACTGTGGAAGACTCTGAAAGAGATGGGAATACCAGACCACCTGACCTGCCTTTTGGGAAATCTGTATGGAGGTCAAGAAGCAACAGTTAGAACTGGACACGGAACAACAAACTGGTCCCAAATAGGGAAAGGAGTACATCAAGGCTGTATATTGTCACCCTGCTTATTTAACTTATATGCAGAGTACATCACGAGAAACGCTGAGCTGGATGAAGCACAAGCTGGAATCAAGATTGCCGGGAGAAATATCAATAACCTCAGATATGCAGATAACACCAGCCTTATGGCAGAAAGTGAAGAAGAACTAAACGGCCTCTTGATGAATGTGAAAGAAAAGAGTGAAAAGGTTGGCTTAAAGCCCAACATTCAGAAAACTAAGATCATGGCATCTGGTCCCATCACTTCATGGCAAATAGATAGGGAAACAGTAGAAACAGTGGCAGACTTTATTTTGGGAGGCTCCAAAATCACTGCAGATGGTGACAGCAGCCATGAAATAAAAAGAAGCTTACTCCTTGGAAGGAAAGTTATGACCAACCTAGACAGCATATTAAAAAGCAGAGACATTACTTTGCCAACAAAGGTCCATCTAGTCAAGGCTATGGTTTTTCCAGTAGTCATGTATGGATGTGAGAGTTGGACTATAAAGAAAGCTGAGCACCAAAGAATTGATGCTTTTGAACTGTGGTGTTGATCGAGAGTCTCTTGGACTGCAAGGAGATCCAACCAGTCCATCCTAAAGGAGATCAGTCCTGAGTGTTCTTTGGAAGAACTGAAATTGAAGCTGAAACTCCAATACTTTGGCCACCTGATGTGAAGAGCTGACTCATTTGAAAAGACACTGATGCTGGGAAAGATTGAAGGCAGGAGGAGAAGTGGATGACAGAGGGTGATTGGATGGCCTCACCAACTCAATGGAGATGAGTTTGAGTAAACTCCGGGAATTGCTGATGGGTTTGGCCCATGAATCAAGGTAAATTGGATGTGATCAAGCAGGAAATGGCAAGAGTGAATATCAACATTGTAGGAATCAGTGAACTAAAATGGACAGGAATGGGCAAATTTAATTCAGATGACCATTTGGAGATAGATCAACATTTATACTCAGTTGAAGGCTGGAGGAGAAGGGGACGGCAGAGGATGAGATAGTTGGATGGCATCACCAACTTGATGGATGTGAGTTTGAGCAAGCTCCAGGAGTTGGTGATGGACAGGGGAGCCAAGTCTATGGGGTCGTAGAGTCAGACACTACTGAGCGACTGAACTGAATTGACCTTAAACTGACACATTAATTCATTCTAGATGTATAATATCCCAATGAAGTAAGTACTGTAGAAAGGCATTACATTTAACAGATGAAAACATAGAGTTCCAGAGACTAACTGACATGCCTAAAGTCACACGGTTAATAAGCACTAGAGCTGGGCTTTGAATTGATGGACTGGCTCCAGAGTCTGATTTTTTTTTTTTTTTCGCCTCCATCTCCCTGATTTCTTAACTATTTAACAACCCAATGCCGTCTCTAAATCAGATAGGTCTGAGAATTCCCTGGCAGTCCAGTGGTTAGAACTCCACACTCTCACTGCCAAGGGCCCAGGTTTGATCCCTGGTTGGAGAACTAAAATTTCACAAGCCACGTGACCAGTAAGTAAATAAGTAAATAAATAAGATAGTTCTATGTGAACCGGTATGAAACCACCTCCAAGTTATCCTGGTAACTTGAAAACCAGGACACAGATCAAGAGGCATAATAAGCAACATTTATGATCAAAGATGCCTAATTTAGTTTGATAATTATTTCCCCTAAATTTTATGAAATGGGTTTGTTGGAATCCAATTTGCTCTTGTCCACTCAGAAAGCTTTCTGACTCAAAATCTTTATAGATGGTTAGATCACTCATGGGCATGCAGACACTCATCCTTTCTCTCTCTCTCTCTCTCTCTCTCTCTCTCTCAGAATTTTCAAAGTTTTGAATCTCAACATCAAGCTTTGTTATCCTTGTGCCTTGAGATACTTTTTTTCTTTCATTGTACTAACAGCTTGGTGGACATTTGCTATCGAGATTTCAGTATGTGGAAGTCTTTTCTCTGGAGCGATTTAGTTTCTCTAGGGAAAAAATCCTACAATCTTCTCTTGTGTAGTTGCAGGATTACTGGGAGCAGAATGGAGGAAGGGGCTAAGGACCTCAGAATTCAGTACATACACCATGACCCAAGGTCCATATTTTCATCCCTAAACCTCATTCTGCCTTCACTCTGCCAACTGTCCCAGGTCCTAGGTATCTTTATTCCCCTCCCACACAATTTTTCCAGTTAATCCAGTCCCCACTTAAGTCATTCAGACCTTGCCCACCTCCATTTACATTCTCAAATAGAGCATCTCTTCCTCATTACTAAAATTTCCCTCACCATTGTCTGCTTTCTTCCAAGTAAAGTAAGTTAAGTGTTAGTATCGCTCAGTCGAAACCGCTCTCTTAATTAGGGCCAACTAGGAAATCCTCTAAACCAATTCAGAGACCACTCTGGTGGTCCCACATTCCTATTTATTTCTTCTTTTTAAAATATTTCTCCGCCATTGGCTTCATTGGGCCTGTCCAACTAATTCTGGTTCCCTCATCATCAAACTTCATCATCAAACATGAAAGTGAAAGAGGGGAGTGAGAAAGTTGGCTTAAAGCTCAACATTCAGAAAACTAAGATCATGGCATCTGGTCCCATCACTTCATGGCAGATAGATGGGGAAACAGTGGAAACACTGGCTGACTTTGTTTTTCTGGGCTGGAGATGGTGATTGCAGAGATGAAATTAAAAGACTCTTACTCCTTGGAAGGAAAGTTATGACCAACTTAGACAGCATATTAAAAAGCAGAGACATAACTTTGTCAACAAAGGTCCATCTAGTCAAGGCTATGGTTTTTCCAGTGGTCATGTATGGGTGTAAGAGTTGGACTATAAAGAAAGCTGAGCACCAAAGAATTGATGCTTTTGAACTGTGGTGTTGGAGAAGACTCTTGAGAGTCCCTTGGACTGCAAGGAGATCCAACCAGTCCATCCTAAAGGAGATCAGTCCTGAGTGTTCTTTGGAAGGACTGAAATTGAAGCTGAAACTCCAATATTTTGGTCACCTGATGTGAAGAGCTGACTCATTTGAAAAGACCCTGATGCTGGGAAAGATTGAGGGCAGGAGGAGAAGGGGACAATGAGGTGATTGGATGGCATCACCAACTCAATGGACATGGGTTTGGGTGGACTCTGGGAGTTGGTGACGGACAGGGAGGCCTGCCGTGCTTCAGTTCATAGGGTCGCAAAGAGTCAGACATGACTGAGTGACTGAACTGAACTGAACATCATCACACTTCTCCACACCTCCCTGGCTGTAGTTGTCCAGACTCTCAAAATGCTAAATCTAGAAAATGGAGACCTCCAGCATCCTTTGAGCTCCATCCTGACAATATTCCAAACCATTTTCGAGAACTCCTACATAATTT